CACCAGCCCAGTCCTTTCAATCACCAGGAAAATGTTCTGCAGGTTTGCCTACAGCCTACTCTTAAGGAGGTATTTTCCTCACTTGGGGTTCCCTCCTCTTGAATGACTCTAGCTTGTGTCAAGTTGATATAAAACTAGACAGGACTGGGGCTAGAGAAATGGCTCAGCGGCTTAAAAGCACTGACTACTCTTCCAGAGAAACCAGGTTCAAATCCCAGCATACACATGGCAGCTCAAAACTGTCTATAACTTCAAGATGTGACACCCTCACACAGACATACATGCAGGTAAAACACCGATGCACATAAAATATTAAAATAAATTATTAAAAAAAACTAGCCAGGATAATTGTGAATGCTAATTGTGTATCAAAGAACTCTAAGCTAGCAAATGCAATACCTCAGCAGAGCTACAAGTGGCAATAAAAGTCCCACCTGCACCAACAAGGAAAGTCGGGCCAAGTGTGAGTGGCATCATGAAAGATGCCTTTATATACAGGCAGCTAATAAGAGGCTGCAGCAAACATCCCAGGGAGCCTAGATAAGTTTCCATGCAAAAGATTTCATGTCTACCAACTGGCTTGGGGCAGTGCCCAGGATGGGAAACTAAAGCAAAAGAAAAGAGGGGTGCTGATCCAAAAAATATCCAATAGATGTTTGGGCAGCATGGCAGACTTGAGCAAGCAACATGGAAAAGCACACACACTTTGTACCATGAGCTATGGGAATTCACTGTACTAAAACATGCTCAGACTGAGTGCTCCCAGTCCACAACCACTGTCATGAGGCAGTGGTACCTACCTTTGCTTAGAATTACACAGAACAGACTCTGCTCCAGCTCCAAGTCCCCAACACACCTATGGCCAGTCAATTCACTCCACCTCTCCTGATCTCTGTAATAATCTGCTGCACAGTGCAGTCAGAGAGTATACAGTCAGGGGCTTCAGAGAGAGTTGCCCAAGTTTCTACAATCATGTAGATTCCCTGCTGGATGTTCCTGTGTGAGCAGTGCGTGGCCTTTCTCTGTGCTGAGAATTCACTCTTCATAGCACCCCATCTGTATGGAACCACAATGGACCTTGCTAAGTGCAGACCTCCTTTCCCGTTGTTGTATCCTTCTGTGGCTCTGTTATCCCAGGGAGCCTCATTCTATACAGACACTGTAGTGGGTGGGGCTGTGCTGTCTCCTCCCTGCCTCTCAACTCCAGTGGGTGTTAGATGGAGATGGATGACCTTGGTGAGTTTCTGCTCCCAGCTTTCTTTCTTTCTTAAAGGCTAGGCTTACAGAACTAGGCCATATTTTTTAAAGTATAACTTTGAAGGAATCAGAATACTATTCAATTTTTTTCCCCCCGAGACAGGGTTTCTCTGTGTAACTTTGGAGGCTATCCTGGCACTTGCTTTGTAGATCAGGCTGGCCTCGAACTCACAGAGATCTGCCTGCCTCTGCCTCATGAGTGCTGGGATTAAAGGAGTGCACCACCAATGCCAGGCAATACTATTCAATTTTTTGTTGGGTTATTTCATAAACATTTTTTGAACCATACTGCTTATTTGTCAAAATCCTCTGTGAGCAACACAGGACAGTTACTGGTGGCAAACCAGGTACATAAGCTACAGGTCAATGGTAAGACACAGGACAACATAAGCACCACCAGAGTTGATCAGAATCGTGTCTTGCTGCATCCAAGACCCACTGAAACAGAGCCTGAACTTCAGAAAGAACCCAAATGGATTTACATGTACACTACAGTTTAAATGTGCAAAACCAAAAGGCCTATAATTAAGTCTAGGTTGGTAAACATTATACATTTTCAGATCTCAGACAAGTTTAAATTAAAGCATAGTTTTGGCCCAACATGACAGATAGGACAGGGGATCCAACAAGCACAGTTGTCAGCAAAAAAGAAATTGCTTGGGGATGGGAAGATGGCTCAGCAACTAAAAGTACTGGGTGCTCTTCTAGAAGACTGGGGTTTGATTTCCAGCACCCACACGATACCTCATAACCACCTGTAATCCCTTTAGATTCCACAGGCACCAGGCATTCAAGAGATACACACACGTGCATGACAGCAAACCTTCTCCACAATTGAAATAAGATTTAAAAAGAAAATTATTCAACAAAGACACTAGCAATCCAATGAGACAGAAATGAAGATGCACGCAGTCCTACAGAATACATCCGAACTTGGTTAGAGAGCCACTGTCTTTTAGTGAATGAAAAGACCAGTGTCAGGGTGCTGGCCTCAAAATTGTATGCACAAGTCCCTGGATCTACAAGACAGCTATAAGCCAATAAAGACCAACTTTTCTTTTCTTTTATCTCCCTACCTCCCCTCTCCCATTAGGGTTTCTCTGTGTAGCCCTGGCTGTCCTGGATCTCACTCTGTAGACCATGCCTGCCTCTGCCTCCTGGGTGCTGGGATTAAAGGAGTGCACCACCACTGCCAGGTTCAAAGTAAAATGACCACTTGTAGACAAAGACTTTCAAATGGAAGAAATGGTAAAAATAGAAATAAATGAAGTTGTATTGGTCTAGGAAAGGGCATTAAGAGTATAATGTAAAAACGGATTTGAGGCTAGAGAGATGGCTCAGCAGTTAGGAGGGCTTCCTGCTTTCCCTGAGGACAGGGAGTTTGATTCCCACTACTAACACAACCACCTATAACTCCAGTTCCAAGCTCGAATTCAATGCCTTCTTCTGGCCACCCAGATATCCACATAAATGAATACACCCACACCCCTAAAAAACAAAACAAAAACCACCCACCAAAAGATTTGAAATGTTTTAAAGATACGCATCAATCCACTAAAACTGGTTATGTACAATAGGAAGAGTTCTAGGACAGCCTGGGATACACCAAGAAACTGTCTCCAAAGAGGGGGGTAGGGGTGTCAAGTAACCTGAAGCAGCTGGTCAAGAACAGAAAAAAATGAACACAAGCATGCTGCTAACTTGCTAGTGCTCAGCTAGCTTTCTTCTCTTATACAGCCCAGGACCCCAAGCTCAGGGAATGGTGCCACCCATAGTGGGCTAGGTCTTCCCATATCAATTAAAGCAACAAAAACAATTAACTCCCCAGAGACCAACCTATCTAGACAATCTCTCATTGAGACTTTCTTCCCAAGTGACTCAAGGTTGTGTTATCACAGTGGGCCACACCAGGAATTCCAGATAAGCCTTGAGCTACAAAGGAAAGTCTGCTATTTAAAAAAAAAAAAAAAAAAGTCTCAGGGGTCTGATGGCTCAGTGGTTAAAAGCACTGTCTGTTCTTCCAGACATCCTGAGTTCAAGCCTCAGCAACCACATGGTGGTTCACAACCATCTATCTATAAAGGGGTCTGATGCCCGTCTTCTGGCATGCAGGCACACATGGACAGAGCACTCATACCTAAAATAAAAATAGATAAATACAATCTGAAAAAAAAAAAAAAGTCTCAGGCTATAGCTAAGTGGTAGAAAGAGCAAAAGAGGCCTTAGGTTCAAAAAAATAAAAACAAAGCCATTACCATTAGACTTAATGTTCTATAAAACAAGGCCAACTGTGTGTGTGTGTGTGTGTGTGTGTGTGTGTGTGTGTGTGTGAAGACATACAACTTAATGCACAAAAGATAACAGATATACTACAGCCAGAAGACGAGGATTTCAGGGACCCTCAATCACAAAAGCCTCTAGACTACCTGAGACCAGTATGTTGACGGCATGGTGAACTCACATTTTAAGAGGGGAGATACCCAGCAGGCAAACAAGTCAATTGGACAGGGCAAGAGTAAGCAATTCAGGTAAAACCCAAATGTAGTGGTCTGGAGTCTTTCGATAAAAGGTTTGCTTGGGGACTGGGTGGGCATGGGTCCCAGGACCCTAAGCATGCTAAGCAAATGGTGTACATTGGGTCATATCTGCAGCCCCAATAAATGTTTACTGCAGCACATTAAGAATCTTGATTTTACTCCTCAGCTCTGCCCTTGCCAATCAAACCAATTTCCACAATTAATAATGTTAAAAATAGACTCTGAAAAAGTGTGAAGGGTCACGCTTCTGTAGAGGTTCCTTCTGCTGAGTAGGAGCTGCAATCACAAAGCATTTGGAAGCAGGGAGAACGCCTTACAGGTTTTCAGTCAGTGGGGACTCTGGAGACAGGGAGAAACTGCAAAGGGCAGAGGACTGACACGAAAAGCGAAAACTAATGTGTGAACTGAATGTCGAGTGCACAGGATTTTGAAACTGACGATGTTCATTAACAATTTCGGTTTATCATACACAGGGAAGGTATCTGACGTCTGCTCTGTAAGGGATGAAGGCAGCCACAGGCACACGGTTAAGGGACTCCTGCCTAAGGCGGTCGGGTCTTCCCTCAACCGCCTCCGCTTTCCAGTGCGAAGCTGGGCCTGTGCATTCTGGAGACGTTAAAAGGGCGCCTGCTGAATGACTGAGCGAACGAACGGGTTCTAGCGGTAAGGGAGAACTGTTTTCCCGTTTGCGGCAGCCGGGCTGAGCGTAAGCGGGAACGCAAGCCACCACAGTGCCATGCAGGGGGCCCCTCGGCCCAACCCAAAGACCCCCACGCTGCCTGGGCGCTCTAGACGCTCACGCCTTGACCTCTGCTCCCCCCGGGGCGGCGAGGCGTACTCTCAACCGCACTCGGTTCCGAAACCCCACGTCTACACTACGGGGAAAGCGGCTGAAGGAGGGGCTCACGGCCCC